AATAACTCTAGTGATTCATATTTAATCACCTTTTTTGAGAGAGAGAGAGAGATTTTATGCACGAACACAAATGACAAACATGTGGATGCTACTTATGTATCTTTCCATTACCAGATAGTGTTTCTAGCTGATGGTAAACTAGATAAAGTGCCAAAAAACCTGCCAACCTCCTCAGATAGTTTTGAGCTACTATCTGCTCAGAGTTCTCCATGGAAACTTCAAGGCAATTTAATAATGCTGGAAGATTATCAGTCCATAAAGTACTCCTTGTCTAACCTTATCATCTCATAATGCATACCAAAATATAGGATCTTCGTGGCTCAGTAATATGCCTTTTGCTCTATAATTTACTCCTTCAGAATGAAACAAACATTAGGAGATTATCATTACTGCATATTTTTACCAGAAAAATTTATTTTATAATTGTCTTTCACTGAGGATGGCACTTGCTAGAGGTATTAGTATGGTTTTTTTGTTTAAATAGCTTTGACATATTAGAAATAGAAGAGTGAGAAACAGTTTCAAGCTAAATCCATATTTAGGAAATTAAATTTATTAGCTTTCTTTTCAGAGGTGGTATGTATGACCTCCTGACATTTACAGTATTCAACACTTTGAAATACCCAACAACTTTTACATAGGTTCCTAAACATCAGCTTAATTCCCTAAGTATGCTTGCACAATTTTAAAGTGTTTACCTTACTTTTTTCTATTCCTTATTTATTTTAATAGCAGCAGAGTGCTCTACCTCCCCTGTCATTTTCAGTAGATTTATAAACATCTTCTACAGCTAGTAAATCTCAAAGCCTTTATCAACATGTGAAAAATAAGTGTTGCCTGAGACGCACACATACTAGGATGGGATTATTGCTTAAAGATGATAATATTGTGGAATAATCCTTTTATAAGTATTCTTTGATAAAAAGCTATTTTTAGAAAAAAACCCAACGACCTTAAGAATGCTGCAGGTATAAACCTGTATTTCAGCTGTAGAAACTGATACTTTAAGCTTTAAAGTCTATGATTCCACATGATATCAAAATTGATTCATGCCTATGGTTTGAAGTAACTTTTAATACCAAGACATTAATTTAAATTTTTTCTTATTATTTAGAAGTAAAGAATGCAGCTAGATCAAGTTACCCAAAATGTTCATATCAATTCAAGAATGCAACTACTAATGCATTGGTTGGTGCCAAGTCCTCTGAAGAAATCTCGGAACCTGTTCCACTTGTTAATAACCGTAAAGGGAGCCTCTTCTTACCCAACAACCCCTCGCTGCTGCACCTTAATTTACTGAGTTCTGTTGAACAAGGAAAATCTACGTACTGTAGATTGCAAAGGGCACTCAGCATGCCTGTAAAATACCGCTACCACTCCCAAAAGCCTGGGTTGAACCAAGATCTCCGTAGGTAGCCCCATAGTTGGATGCATAAAGCAATATAGATTGGTTTGTGCATGGTTTTGCAGTCTGTTTTCAATGTGCCTATGACATTACTAATGCTCTGTTAAGTGCTTACAGACGTGGGTTTCTCCAGATGTGGTGATTAATAAGTTAATCAAAATAGCTAGTCAACTAATGTTTCTGGGTGGTTTGTACTTTACCTTTCATATGGTTTATTTGCTCTGAAACATTTACATGCTAGGCAGAAGGAATTTACCAGGTACTCCAGTTTGTGTGATGTTCAGTAACGTAGGTATTATTTCAAACTCCGGCAATTTTGGGGGTCTAAAAAAATGGTGTTTGTAAACCGTCTTGCTAGTGACCTGGAGGTGGCAATGAAGGAGACAGATTTATTTAAAAAATAGAAACAAAATAACAAAGAAAAAGGAACCATGAAACTAAAATATTTTATGGCTTTACTGAAAATTTTGCTAGATCTGTTTCTTTAAATATGCAGGAAATTGACAATAGTATCTGAAGGATAATAATAAAATATGTTTTGTGTCCTACTTATTACTAAGAAGCCACTTGTGAGTTATCATTGCAACACTTTTGGGAACCAAGCCATAGGTAATGGTGTCCATTATATACCATTCACATATTTCAGATTCATGTATTCCCTTCTCCCATTCTTACGGAGCTGCATTTCTAAACTGCAGATGGCCTGTAAACACAGTGCACAGATTTCATTGAAAAACAAATTCTTGTTTGGATGTGATATGATTAAGGTAGATCACCTTTCATTGCTACAATGAGAATAAATGGCTTCCTTGCCTAAGTAAGGCATTGCTTTAGCAGCAAATTGAGATCACTCAGAAGGCTTTGCTAACAAGAATTAACTAGTGAGTCACATTAACCTTGGACTTTCCAGGCAATTAGTGACAGGAACATAGTTTGAATATGACAAGAACATACCAAAAGAGGGAGCTTATTTATTGTAGATGCAGTACTAAAAATAACTACAGACTGCTAGAAATCTAGTTCTAGAAATGGTTATCTGGATGATTACTGGTAAGACTTAGAGTTTTTTTAGTTGGATGGCAGGGTAGCATCACCTGGCAGCACTGGAGAACACAAATGTTGGACCATATCGTATGAAAGATCTTTACTAACATTCGGTATTTCAAAGAATCAGACAGAAATCTTATTAGCTAGCTGAGAACTTGGAAAAGTACTCTTTTTAATAGTATTTTCTATTCTTCATAGAATTTTTTCTGGCTATAATATGATCTACAGTTAACTTGTGTTAATGCAAGATTTTTCACACACTCCTAATGTCTATATATCTTCCTTAAACTGTTCAAACAGTATAACAATACACTTTACTTATGGTGCAATACTGAATCTCTTGACAAACATCCTGTAACTCTGTGCAGATGAAATTAAGTGAAATCTAGATTTTTTACTATCAAGAGAGCAAAACATATCAGTTGTAGCTGGTTTCTGGAAGGAACATTTTGCATTGTACTTGTTCCTTTGATCTTTTAACTAGTGGATTCATCAGATTGGAACTGAATATTTATATCCTATAAAGAGCAAGAGAGCAGACTGTGTATCTTGAAAGCAACCTATTGTGTGTATGGAATAGCATGTGAACAACTTCTTGATAGACATGTTTAAAACAAGACTAGGCCATTTCCAAGAGTGATTTGCAGAAGGTGTTCTGAAATACACAAATACTTGAACTTTGTTACAATCAGAAATAGATATCACTAACAAAATAATTCTGTGCATATTCACTTTGTGTTACAAATAGCTAGATTCTGAAGTGATCTAGTTTAAACTGAACAAACTGTCACAAAAAGAAAATTTCAATTTGTATATTTTTGAGAATTTTCTATGGGCTTATTTATCTCCCAACCAAAGAATGGTACTTGACTAATCATCAATAAGCATTTCCACTGTAGGACTCTGATGTGGACAAAAACAAAAAGTCAAATGAGAAGGAAATGGCTTTGTCTTTGAGAATGCTGCCAGAGAAGAAAAGGAAATTAGGTTAGTGAAATAAATGATTATTAGACAGTCTTTGCTCTGATCGAAGTATTAACATTTACACCACTCTCTGGGTAATTTATTTTGGGGTTAGCTTTTCTTTTTTTCTTTTTTTTTTCTTTTTTTTTTTTCACTTTTGCATTCCCTTGATGTGTTAGGTGATGCCAGGTCATTTAAAAAGATAGAACATCTGTCTTTTCAGGGCCCAGTCCTTTGGTCTTGACCAAGGCAAAATGAAGTTCCATAGCAGACTTGGGCAAACAGACAGGCTAAAAGACACTCTGTAATAAAATAGTGTCAGAAGAGGGTTATAGCAGAAGGATATTGCTTAATTTCTTCCCAGATAAGTCTAGGGTAGCTGACATATATCTAAGTTTTGTCGTTCCTACATAGTTCATTGCAAATAGAATCTTTTATTCCAGCCTCTGCTTGTGCACTGCTAATGTGTATTAAGCTCTTTTAATATAGCTACTACTATCACTACTAATCTCTTTCCTTTTAGCTTTAAAGTAACAGCTTCTTAGGCATCAGCTATATTATCTTCTTGTTCATTTTTCAGTTAACAATAGGATGGAAAAAAAGGTGTATTTTTCCTTCTTTGTATAAGAATAATTCAGCATTAGTGTGAATTTGAGAAAGGAGGCATAAGATAATTCCCTTTGATAGCACATGTAAACCTTATGCACAGATTATCAAATGCAGTAACGACCTTGAAACAGTAATGATGATGGTTAATTCTTATAGGTGAGTTATCAGGAAGCTGCACATGTTTAAGCAATACATATTGTGACATAGTTTAGTGGAGAGTAGTTTATGATTGGCAAAACTGTAAGTGATTTTACTTCTGGAAATTGATCTGTCATTGAAAATGCACCTCATTCTCATTAAAAGATTGCATAACACATGCATCCTCTGTTAAACAGGTATTGTCTCCCCACTTCCATTCAACCTCATTCTGTTCACTCCTGTTAGAACTCCCTTTTGTGAGAAGGGTAGAGCAATGAGGTCTGACTTGTGCTGGAGATCTGTGCACAATGGCAGGCTGCATTCACATTCCTGACTACCTGAATCATTGAACATCAAGGCATTGAATATTTTACATCTCTTCATGAAGACTCTGTTGTTTGGCATGTGAGGAGCAAGAACCAACTGGTGTCTAGTTCATTAGCAGAAGCAGGCTGGCAGCTGTTATGTTGATATTGCAAATAGTACTTTATCTTTCTGGGAATATAGCAGAGCACTAATTCTACTTTTCTGTAGCACAGATTAACTGAAAATAAGTCTTAAGAATAACCTGAATGCAGTGTCCCCCCCCCACCCCGTCTTTGTTTTTTAAGTATGAAACCAATTTGAACACCTGTGTTCAAAACCCTGGTATTCTTCCCTGCTTCTCCTTCAAACCAATCTCTTTGACTAACATGTATTTGAATTTTATTGGGCCTATGTTAGCAATGAAGTATCAGTGCGTGAATGGACATAAGAGTGTGTGTTCTTTGCAGCTTCACTTGTATTTCATATTGAACTTGGAGCAGTACTTAATCTCATGAGTTCCTTATATTTCCAGTTGAAGATGAGCAGCCATCAACACTATCACCCAAAAAAAAGCAGCGAAATGGAGGCATGCGAAATTCACCTAACTCCTCACCCAAACTGATGAGGTAAGACTATAAGAAACTCATATCTTCATCTCCTTTCTTCCTTCCTTCCTCTTCTCCTCCCCCCACATCAAAAATAAGGGGAGGAGGTGGAAAAGAAAGATTGTTAGATGGTTTCTGAAAGGCTGAAGTATTTATTCTGTCAGCTTGTCAGCAGTTAATGATAGAGCTGAAAAAAATTCTGTCATGAAAAACAGTTTGAAAAGCTGTTTGAAAAATACATAGGCTTTAAAGTCTTAGCTGTCACCCTGTCCTGTCCGTGTGTAGTTCTTAAACAGCAGTGGCACTAATGATAGCAGTAACCAATCAGGAGAACTCATGTGGTTAGTTTGCCTCAGGCAATTCTCTTTTTGTTGGATTCCCTCTGAGTACTGTTTTCTGTACTTAAGGCCATATGTGAGATGTATCATCACAATCAAAAATGAACCTGAATATTACCTTCCTTTTATCCTGTCGATTGTAATCAAATTTCTGTTAATTGATTTAGACTGATAAAAAAGTCTAATAATCTATGTAGTTGCCAAAGCAAAGTTCAAAACTAATGCAGTTTTACTCAGGCTAAAAGCACATTAATTATGAAATATAGGGATTTTTAAAAGGGTAGTATATACTCTAAAAGTGGGTGATGAAAACATCATCTTGTTAGTGATATTTTTCCCCTGTTGCTGGGTGTATATTATTTTACACTGGTACACCTCTGTATAATTATGTAGTTTTGTTCCATAGGACAAATTACCTCTAAGAGATTTGTTAGAACTAGAACTCCAACAAGAAATTGGAATCTAGTAAAATAATATGGCATCTGCGTTCTGTCTCACTGTGCTTCACCTTTTGCCTGCTCAAGTCAGTCAGAACAGGAGCAGACAGCAGACATGGAGATTTCTACAAGGAGGCTGCTCCTGCTCTGGTCTTGCATATCTAAAGTATCCAGGCTAGAAACTCAGTCCATAATTATATCCAGAACTAAATATCATAGCAGAGATTTGCCACTGCATACATAGAAAAATGTGAACTTATTTACATGTGAACATGTTATTTACAGACACATTCATGCAGTTTGAGTGTATGTATAAAAGTAACATTCGTTTCACAGAGGTTAAGTGAAAAAATTAACATGAATGTATAGTTCTTTCTATAAATAAAATCACTCAAGAATTTTCTTTTATTGTTGACAATTATTTTGTTCCTTTAACAATTCTGGATAGAGCTAAGTAATATTACCCTTTGTATTTCAGTCAGCAGACTGGAAATTTTCTTTGGCCATTTACAGAAGCATCCATATTTGTTTATTGTTACTGCAATATAGGGCATATTCAAGGACATAACTTCTACAAGTTGTCTTCCTCTCTGTTTAGACTACAGAACCAAAAGTGAGATTGATTCACAGAGGAAAATGCACCCAGCTGTGTCTTTTTTTCCTATTGACCATCTATTTCTGTTAAATGTATCATTAAAAGTTCTCTGCCTTCCTGTTAGCTCAGCCTTGCCCATATGACATTGATTTACATGCTTGTTTACAGTTTATGAGGAAGGATAAAATGAACATACAGGCAAGCTTTCGGTTTTTATGGTGCCAGTTGTCATGCTAGCATCATTTTCATTTTACTTACCTTTGGACAGTCTTCTTATCTGGTGCTAATAGTTTTAACCACTTAAAGTTTTAAACTTGTGGAAGATTTCCCTGCCTCACCAAATCCTAATTTTGGGGAAGTAGAAGTAAAAAGAAAGAGAGGGAGAGAGAGAGAAAGAGCTGAAGCATTTGGAGCTGAGCACACTGTCCCTGTTTGCTATGTAAAGTATGCCTCATTTCTTTGATCTTGAGTAATAATAATTCTAGGGAGTTATACTGTTTTCATATGCTTCAAAGCTGTGTCAAAGTTTTGCTGCTTAAGGGTACTTCTTTATTCTATTGGCTCTTGGGTACTGAGATGACAGGTCCTCTGTACTAGGTGCAGGCTTTTTCAAGTCATAGCCTTCAGCAAAACATCAAATTACCAAATACAGAGTAACATACTTCTACACAAATGCCTTTCCTGTAGATATATTATACCATATATATTAAATACTTTAGTGTTACATGGTACATTTTATGTGCAATAGAAAGTGATGGTTTGAGGTAGCCTTAGGGGTACTTTTTTCCACAAGCAGAAAAAGCTAGTGTATACCGTATCAAGTATGGTTTTTACAGGACTTTCTGCCCGAAGGCCTTTGTAAATAAGTAATGATCAACAGATTGGCTGTGGGTTTTTGAAAAGCATGCCTGTGTCAGTTTGCATGATGGGGGAAGATTTTCAAAGTGGAGCCTGCTTTCATTGCCTGCTGAAGAGGGACTGAGGGAGAGTAGTCGTCCTGAGCCTGAGCTGTCTGCTCAGTAGCACATCAGAATTGCTAAACACAGGTCGAGCAGCGAGTGGAGAAGTTGCCAGGCTTCCAGATCCAGACATTGTTTTCTTCCTTTTCTCCCTTGCTGCTGAATTTATTCACCAGCCCTGTGTTGGCACCCTCGGCCTCTCCCCAGACCCAGCCTCTCTTTGTTTACCCTTTATCTACACTGACTTAACTTTCATTCAAGGTGCTAAATAAGAGAAAGTTGATTAAATCAAAAGTGAACTCTGTTAAGCTTTATGTGTAATGGCCAAACATTTTTCTCATTTACAATAAACAAAGGTGGGCTGTATTATCTTCTGTTTTGTATCCTCGTAAATTACCTAAAGTGACAGGTACTTGCTTTCCTGCCCAGAAATCTTTAGTGTATGTCAGCTAAAAGTATACAAGAGGTAAATCAGCTAAAGCAGTGTCATGTCTGTAGCTGATATTTATCTTTGCAATATTTTTCCTAAATTTGCTTTAAAAACTCCTTTTCAAATCCAGATTCACCCCCGTCCCTCCCACCAAACAGCTGGCAGTAAACTTTGCAGACTTTTCCTCAGCTATGGTTCTGGATCTGTCTAACAATAACATGTCTCTAAATGCCAATAAATTACTAACAAATTATAAATAGATGGTAGGCATACAAATGGTCTTTGTATACATCACAAATGATCTAGGTTCACATTTGGAAAGTTACTGTTCTAACTGAATCCTGCATCACATCAAATGACATGAGCAGAATCACACTGATGCAATACTGGAAGAATCTAATCAATCAGAAACAAATCCTTCAAATTCAACTACAGCTACAAATGCAAATTAACTAAAATAATACTCTGTGATGTCATGGTTATTTCTGTCTGTTTTACATCAACATAAGTCTGTCCCATTAAATACACCATAACATAGGTATTATTTAAAAATAACGTAAAGTCCAACAGGAAAAAATGGATACTTCTCCTGTGGAGATGTAAACACAAGGACATCCCATTACAATAAAAAATAAAATTAAAATAGAACATAGAAGGAAAAGGAAGGAAAGCTGGGAATAGTAGAGTAATTGCATATCTGGTTTCCTTCTTGAAATAGAGAAGAAAAGTAGAACCATTTGATGCCTCTGATGTTATGCAGTGATACCAAGTCACCTGTTTATCATCTCACAGTCACATGTTATGTTGCATGTTATTGATGAACAGTCATGTGAAATATGAGGAGGTTATGTCACCCAAATATCAAATAGCAAAGCTAGCTTAAAAAAAAATAGTGTCATTTTGGATTCCAAAATGACCAGTAAAAATGTGAAAAGCCCTGGATATGAATCAAAAAAGCCACTTAAAAGGATTGTTGCTGGGGCTCAAGTCCACACTTAATGCTTTGGTAGCTGCTACTGCATGAGTGGAATACACTGACTTGAAGGAAATGTCAGCCCAGCTGAGTCAAACTACCCCTTAATTCAAGAACAAATAGCATATGACAGGGCCCAAGGGGCCTGAAGAGCAAACAAATAGTTTGTCCCTGTCCACTCTGAATGTAGTGGTGTAGTTGACATAGGCCTCTAGACAAGCAGCATACTCAGCAAAGGGTCATTATCATTAGTGTCCCTGATCACATAAGAATCAGAGGCATCAGAGGACGCTGGGTTTTCGGTGTGTTGCCAAGGAGAATTTCATAAGCCTGAGGATTTTTCTTGATCAAGGTTCTAAAATTATTCCTGACCAAACCATAAAACTTGCTCATAGACTGTCAAGACCCAGTTAAGTGACACAGGAAAAAAGTGAGCATTTTGGCATACATTTCTGGAAACCTAATGAGATTATTTATCTGAAGTTGAGGGGGAAACCTCCTGTCTTTTTTCCTGAAGTTTGATATAATATTCTAAGTATATGAACAATGGCTGTGCACATTTATCTCCTCATCTGCCTACCCAGCTACATCCAGTCAAATGTACAACACATTTCTGCTAGTGCTACTCAGGATGAATTTGTATTGCCCCTGCCATTGTAGTGCTGCCCTTCCATGAGCTTTCTCATAGGAACCAAAAAAAGTGATGAGAGGTCTAGAGTGGAACATTTCTCACAAAAAGTAGGTAAAATAAGTTCAGTCTGATCATTTTACATGACTCCTCTAAACCAGGCATGAAGGAAAGGTTTGAAGAGGTGAAAGCTCACTGATTAGCCATAATAATGGTTTATTTATATGTCCCTCAGCCTTGGAGATTCCATCATGTACTCTAAAATTTATGTCCTTTGTTAAGGATTTACAAGGCTAACTGTATGCAGTGCTAATATGCAGTGATGACTAAGCTGCCACAAAGCAGGTATTTAATAGCACTTTTCACTTCCTGATTCTGTTCTACAAGTTTGCTACAACTAACATGAGCAACAAGATGAACTGAGTAATAAGTCTTTTGTCTTAGACCTGTTTTTAACAGGGTCTATATATGTTAGCTCTCCAACTTTTGCTACCATTGGTAGTTGTGTTATAAACTGTGGGAATAACAATGGTATCAGGGGCTTTTATTAGAACGCTGTGGAATCTTGCACAAGTGTTTTGAGATGAGAGAGCAGTGTCAGGAAAGGAAAGGAGAATTTTCCAGCAGAAAAAATCAACAGGCTTTTTTATAAAGTTCAGAG